AAGGAAGAGACAAGGAATGACTCTGGGAGCAAGAATGCACTCGGTGATGCTCCGCGCCGCCAGGGGGTCGGGCTGGTGGCCAGCGCCGGGCCCCACCCAGGACAAGGTGCATTCACCGGCTAAAGGCACTGAGCTCCAGTGCCACCACACGGGTAAGGAGCCTGGCACTTGGTCTCTGGACTCCAGGAGAGTGGTAACTGTGTTTATTCACCATGTATAATCCTGCACATTTAAGGGCCTTACTTGTTGCACACTTCACAAACAGAAGATCAGCAGCTACAGAGCTTCTCTCCAGCAGGCCAGGAGAAACCAGGCTGGGGACCCACTCACCGGGCACCCCCTTTAAACTGGTGTGCAGCCCTGCCAACAGCCAAAACCTCCATTTCTGAAACCTCCTGAACCACAGCCACTGACTCACACCATGGCTGTGCGGCTGTGGTCCTCACTGCTGGATATTTGCAGCATCTCCCTTATGAGGAGCGGCTGAGGGGGCTGGGGCTCTTTAGTTTGCAGAAGAGGAGACTGAGGGGAGACCTCATTCATGTTTAGAAATATTTAAAGGGTGAGTGTCACGAGGATGGAGCCAGGCTCTTCTCAGTGACAAACAATGATAGGACAAGGGGTAACGGACACAAACTGGAACACAGGAGGTTCCACTTCAATTTGAGAAGAAACTTCTTCTCAGTGAGGGTGACAGAGCCCTGGCCCAGGCTGCCCAGAGAGGTTGTGGAGTCTCCTTCTCTGCAGACATTCAAAACCCGCCTGGACGCCTTCCTGTGTAACCTCATCTGGGTGTTCCTGCTCCGGCAGGGGGATTGGACTGGATGAGCTTTTGAGGTCCCTTCCAATCCCTAACGTTCTGTGATTCTGTGTGTGATCCTTTAATTGCACTTTAGCTGCTCCTTTACACCCCATCCAACTCTGCTCGCCTCCTCGTGCTTCCACAGCTCTGGTGCACACAGAATGGGGGTGACAGCTCTGATGCTGCCACCATTGCCACCACCACACGGGTGGATGGGGGTCAGTGGCACCTCCGGCCCTGCCCCTACACCAAACTGCACTTCAGACTGATCACTGGCACAGGTTGTCCAGAGAGGCAGTGCAGGCCCCATCCCTGGAGATATTCAAGGCCAGGCTTGATGGGGCTGTGAGCAACCTGATCTGGTAACACTGTCCCTGTTCACTGCAGGGGTTGGACTGGATGAGCTTTAAAGGTCCCTTCCAACCCAACACACTCTATGATTCAATGATTCACTGCTCGCACTGATCACATCTCTCTGAAGCACACCAGAGAAGTGTAAGAGATGGACAAACCAAGACCTGGGAAGGCTTCAGGTCTAACCCCATTGCTACAAGCAAGAAGGAAGCCACCGACTGTTCCCATGAAATAGCTCCCGTAAGAAGAGATCTGGACTGGCAGGAGGAGGTGAACCGCTGTGAACACACTCATGTATCGGAAGGTCCATGCTTTTGCAATAAACCAATGGGATCAGTCAGTGGATGTGCTCCTGTGCTTCAGACTGCGGCGTGCAGCAGAGAAAGCTGATCGCCCCGTCTTTAAATTCAGATGTTCTAAAGAGAGGTTACAGGAAGTTAATGACAGGTAAAAATAAAAGCACTGCACTGTCAGGCTCCTGTTGGCTTGCAGCATCCCGCACACAGGGCACTGAGCAGCGCTTGGGTTAAGGGATCAGACATCACCGTGCTGGGCTGTGAGAGGTGACGGAGAGCAGCAGGCCAGGTCCCCCCAGCTCTCTGGGGACCCCAGGGACGTGCTGTGGTACTGACTGCTCAGGGACCGTGTGGAGGGGTGAGATTCAGCCACGCAGGAAGAGCCAAACATCAGTACAGAAACTGCATGGTATTCCTTGGGTCAGCAAAACACAGCTTCTGCTGCACGTCAGGATGGGACACCAGAACAGAAAACACAAAACCAGGCACTGCAGCCAAACTACCCTGGAGAGAAAAGGTTTCCATGAGAGAAAGAGATCCTGCAATTTCAATATATAAATGGGCTAATAAAAATGCCTGCAGTGACCCAAGGACATGAGCGATCGAGAAACTGCCTCAACATTCAGCTCACACGAGGAAAAGGGATTAAAGGGGCAGAGCACAGCTATCAAAAAGGCAAAGTGTCTTCCTCCAGAAGAGTTTGTCGTCTTTTCCAAGTTTTAGCTGTTGGAAGAGAAAAAAAAGTAAAAACCCCAGACCAGGACATTTGCTGTACTGCTGGATGAAGTCTGGGGATCCACAGTGCTTCCCTTGCGCACCGGGGGTTTTCACGGGGCAATTCAAGGCACCAGTGAGCACTGCAGTGAGTCCACAGGGATGGGAAAGGAAAGCACGGCTGGAAAGCAGAGATGCACAGACTGGCACTGGGAATTCTGCTCTCACTCCAAAGCCCCTCAGTCCCTACATTTTCTGTACCAAAGCCTGGCAGGGCGCACTGCCTGCCACTCGTTAACTGCACATCCAACACAAAACCAGTCATTCTGATTTTAAAACCATCTACTCGTGAGAGACGTTAAATCCAGGTCCTCATTTCTACTCTGCAAACAGCATTCCTGTCTATCCCGAGTACCACATTTCACAATTCTCAACACAATTCAGTGTCCCTGGCTGGCCCAAGACTCAAATTTGGGGAAACACTGTGCACCCCGCTGCTGTGAGCAGCTCCTCCTCCCTGCAGGAGGGGTCATTTCTGAGGGTCCTCTGATGGGTTATGTACTGCACGTCCCTGAGCCAGGCACAGAACAAGCTGCCATGCGCCACCACGTGGGTAAAGATGAAAAGGTTTCCCTTAAAAATTGATTTTCACCTTGTTCCTACTCCAAGCATCTTGGAAGGACTTTTCAGCTAAAGCGGGTTTTCCAACATTGTGAATAAAACCACAGCCACAGCCCAGCGTTTTCGGCCTCTGCTCGCCAACCCAGAGGTTGCTGCTGCTCAAACCACGTCCTGCCAGAGCAGCGCTTTCAGAAAGGGAGTGAAAACATCGCGGTCTCTTTTGTAACAACCTGGGATTTCGAGAGGAGCTCTCGGCCAGGAGACAAGAGACATCGCCCGCGCAGCCCACGCGCACAGCGCGTTGCCATACCCGCTTTCTCATCGTGGGTTCCTGGGGCTTCTCAAACTTCCTTTTCCTCCACAGGTGCACCTCGTCCGACTTCCTCCTCAGGATGGAGTCGACTGGAGGCTTTTTGGAGTGCTCCTCCGACTTCCGCCTGGGAGCCTCCTCGCAGTCCCCTTTCCGCTTCGCGGCGTCTGTCACCTCCTTGTTGTCCCTGTTCATCTTCTGCTCCTTCAGCAGCGAGCCGGGCAGGTTGGATGCGTATTTGAATCCTGGTCCGCGCTTTTGCTTGTACGCCAAAGAGACACAAAACACAAACAAACTTTATATCTTATGACTTTTCTCAGCGCTTTACCCACGTTTGCCGCCAATATCCAACACCGGTGGGTCCATCCCTTTAATAACAGAAAAAACGCAGAGCAAGGAGTCACAGTAAAGCAGTGCCAACCTTCATAAAGGTAATTTTGTAACTACATTCGAAGAGTCTGTCTCGGTTTGCAAAGAAATAATGTTTCACTAATTCCCACTGCCACTCCAGGTTTTGCATAATTGCTCCTGGAATTGATTTTAAAAATATATAAAGAATTTTCATCTTAGGAGTTCCCGTTAACTAACTTAAACGTTCCCCAGGCTTTCAGGGAAGTGTTGGTGCGTGGAACAGGAATACAACAAGTTTTAAAGAGCAGAGAGCTATCAGCTTACTTCAACCACTGAATTCCACGCAAAAGCAAAAGCTGGAATTGGGCAAAGTTGTACCTACAAGCCAGAGGGAATGCTCTAGACTCTGCATCCCACTCCAGCACCTCTTATTCCCACTAAACTCACTTTTCCAGTTTTCCCTGCATGGTTGCACTTGGGACACTCCCAGCAGTTGGGCAGCTCGTCGTTGACCACCCCGTCCGACTCCTTCACCTGCGGAGAGAGGCACAGCTCAGCTCAGGGCGCTGGAAACCCCTTTAGAGACGTTTCGTACCGCTCCATCCCCTCTGCTCCCCCATCTCTACAGAACAGACCCCAACCACCTTGGTGCTGCACCTGGCCCCTCTGGGGCTGCCCACAGGGGAGGGAAGCGTTGGCCAAACTGGCATCTGACAAAGGGTCAGGGCTGGGCTTGTTGTGAAGGTCAGAGACACCCCCACGAACACAGAGCACATTCCGCTCCTGCCAAAAGCCAGCACAACAAAACCACCTCAACAGCCCAACTCCAAACCCTGGACTGCACTCATGCCACCAAGCGTCCCCCCACGGCACCCATCTGCAGAGCTCAGCCCCGTGCCCCCTCCCCGGCAGTCGGATCCGTTGATGGGAAGGGACTTTTCCCATCCGCACATTCCCACACACATCAATACCGACCGGCATTTTTAGAAGCAAATCACCCTGCACTGTAATCAAGTGTTCCTTAAAATATTCTGCTTGATGGATCAGCACTCGCAGTCCCATGTGCCAGTACAGACGCTGGCTGCCAAGTCCACAACAGAACAGGCACTTTTATTCGGAGACTGGACACACGAGGGCATTTTTTAAGGTTTCTCACACCCAGCTACCAGCCGGTGCGAGGAAGAAAAACCCTTGCTGCTTCCTACCTGAGCCACTGACATTTTGCTTTCTGAAAGAGAAGATGCACGCTCGGTGCTGTTACAGGACAACGAAAGCACAGTCTTGCCCTGTCCCCGAATTTCCACATAGGCGCCAGCATTGCTTTACAACGGGAAATAGGGGAAAAGGCATTTCTGTGACTGAGACCTGGGATGAAAAGCAGAGCTGAAGTACAAACACCCTCCACACACACACGCTCGCTGATGGCACAGTCCCATTTCAGGGCTTAGTTATATATCCAGAAAAAAGCCTCGAGGGGAAGAAAAGGAAACCGCTCCTCCAGCCCTTGCTCCAGACAGCAGCCATCGGGGTTCACCATCCCGCTGAGCGGTGGCACCTCGGCCTCAGCAAGTCTGGAGTTAATAAACGAGTCCGTGGAGTGGGCAGGATTTAAATACTGGTTTGATCACAGCCGCACGCCTTTGAACCTCCTTTCCCATGGTAGGTGTAAGATACTCCAGGAGTTGCTGTACACATCTCTGCCTTGGGGGAACAACTCCTGGCCCGCGCCCAAGGTGGGAACAAGTTATTTCCCGCACTGAATGTGGAGCAAATGCTACTGCAGGAAAGTGTTACGGCTCCAGCCCTTCTGTGGAGTTTGGGGAACCCAGCAGACGTGAGGGGCCGTAAGGAAACCAATGAGACACACACAGACCTGCCATGGGTCTGTCCCATGCCTCTGTGCTGGGTGGGAGCCAGCCCTGAGCAGTGCTGCAGGCAGCAGGGGTTGTCTGCTCCGCAGCGCGAGGCCTCTGCAAGAGACAAACCTGCGGATTCGGGAGGTCTGAACACGAGACCGTGCTATGATGAACTCCTCTCATAAGGACTATGGAGAGCCCAGGATGCTGATCTGGCATTGGAGCGAGAGTCACGAATCTCAGCAGTGCCAGGACTGACACGACACGGGCAGCGAGACACTTCTGGGCCAAGAACATGGGCAGGAGTGCTGGAAAAGGTCTCTGCATTGCTGCTGCTCTGACAGGGCTTCTCAGTAGTCAGCTTTTCCATCATTATCACTACATCCACCTAAGGTGAGGAACAGGCTCCTACTGGAGAAAGGAAACCCCGCTCCTTAAGGAAACAGCATCAGGTGCTGCACTCGCTCACACACGCTAACCAGCACTGCCAGCAGTCTGACAAGTGGCAAGAAAAATCCATCAATATTGGTTCAACTGACATGCTCTGTAACAACGAAAGGCAGTATTCCTCTGAAAATCTCACTAACTCCCTCTGGAAACGATGCTGTGCTCATGAAATGCTCGTCAAGACCATTTTCAGAAGAAACTCTTCAGCAAAGCGAGCACTTGGTACTGCATTTTCAAGGAAAGCAGCGTGTCAGACACCTCTCAGTCCCTGGAGCATCCTGGCTGTCCTCAGCACGGTTCCAACACCCCGGTGTTGGAACATCTCTGGTACCCAGGGCTCTCCTGGTACCCAGGGCTCTCCCAGCAAGAGGAGAAGCCCCTCAGGGCTGGAAGTGTCAGAGCACAGAGGCACCTGAGCCACTCACTGTGCTCAGAGGGGTCATCCTCTGACACTGGGTTGCCACAGAGAAAACCCACCCCAGGCACGAACAGCCAGACCAGGAAGCCGTAAGAGGACAGACTTCAAACCAGGAACAAGCTGTAAGAGGACAGACTTCAAACCAGGAACAAGCTGCCCAGCAGCACAGCTCAGCTGGTGTCTGCCAAGCTGCTCCTCAAGCTTTGGGGAATTCACTGCACAGAGGAATGAGCCAGGAAAGGCCACTCCTCCCTTTGCCCATCCACTTTCTGCCAGTCTCCCCAGTCAGACGATAACTGGAGGTGACCCGTTCATGTGTCCTACTGCCCCTTCACCCAGGACAAAGGGACCTGGTGGACAGCCAGAGCAGCTGCCCTGGGGCTGTGTCTTCATGCAAAGGTGCTTCCCACAAGGACTATTTACAGGTCTAAGCCCACGCCAAGGGCTCAAGAAATCTGTAAACATGGCAACAGATTTTTTTTAGTTGTTTTTTTTTCCCCTCACAGAAAGTGATGGAACCTGGAGATAAAGAGCAAGGAGGGATCCAGAGAAGAGGCTCTATCTCCCATTTGCTGCTCCCCTCTCATTTCACCTTCCAAAATGATTCTGAAATCCTACCAGTGCCCTTTTGGCTCAGGAAACACACAGTACCGGTTACCCCAGCACTTCAGCTCAACAGAAGCACTGAGAAATTAAAATACAAGAGACGCAAGGCACACAGTGATCTCCCACTGCTCCGTTTTCAGATACCCCCAAAGCACCACTGTTCCTGGTTACCAACACGGCGCTCACAACGCCCCACACGCACAAGAACAAACAGCACTTGCTCGATTTCACACATCTGACCCACATCCTGTGCAACCAGCCCCAAATGTGGTCCGGGAGAGGAAACCATACCTGAACTGCCACCACGCCACAGCCGTGTCCCCTGTGCAGGGCGACAGACGGGGAGCGCAGGGCACTCCAAGGACTGGAACAGCAAAGCAGCAGCCAGAAGCCAACACTGAGCTACCTCTGGAAATGAGCAGCTCCTTCCCCCGCCTCATCAGTCCCTGAAGCCCTGCTTTAAGCTGAGCCAAGCAAGCAAAGCTCCCTTTCAGAGCCCATCTGTGGAGGAGCTGCAAGCGCCGATTTCCCAGAGCGAGGAGACAGCCACCGTTCAGGTTTGCCAGCTTCCTACTTTCTGCTCTTACAAACACACACATCGCTTGGTGCAATACCACGTACAGCGCAAGGAAAATAAAGGCCAGGAAAGCGTCACCCCAGGGTTGCATAGGGAACGTACCTCTCTCTCCTCCCTGAGACCCCAGAAGGGCCAAGAGCTGCCTTCTGGGGCATGGTGCATCAGAATGCATTTGCTTTAGCAAATCACTTTAACCATAAACAAATCAGCACCAGGAAATGGCTGAAACACAACCAGCTCTGGAGAAAGGAGGCTTCCAAACACTCACACACAAAGATGTGCCCAAAATGACACTTTAGGTACCGAAGAATAGAGCTGCTCACAAGGCTCAAGTCAGCCAAGGGTGAGCACTCCTGCAGTGTGAAATCCGTTCAGTTTACTCTCTAGAGCTGCTGTCTTCCCACTGCAGCATTTGCTCAGAACATCTTCAGAGCCAGCTGCCTGGCACATCTGTGCCTGGACGTGTTTGTACTTTGTGGGGCACAAAGCCACCGATGCAGGGACTGTCACTAACTCATCCACAGGCACTCTTCTCTGTCCTCTTGAGCTTCCTGGCCCAACTGAAACTCCTCACTTCCTTAAACAAGAAGAAAGAAAGAAAAACAAAGCGAAAGCCCCAGAAGACATGTGCATGCACATACATCTGGGAGGCTGCCCAAAGCAGGAGGCTCTGCTGCTCACACCAGGGTATCTGCCTGTGCTGGGTCTGTGTGTGCCATGGCTGCTGCCCTGCTGCTCACACCAACCATGCTGCTCACACCAACCACGCTGCTCACTTCAGTTTCCAAAGGCGAAAATGTGAAAGCTTTCCAATTTCTCCACACTACTTTTACCTTAAGGTGATAACTAATCCGGTTTCTGTTTCCAACCCGTATCACATCCTCATACTCACCTTAAGGCATCCTGGGTGTATGATTTCGTTACAAATGGAGCACTCCATTAGCATGAGATTAAACTTGCTCTCCTCCTCTTCCACTGTGTCCTCTTTCCCGGCCTCTCCGCACACCAGACACACGGCAGTATGGGGCAACACCGGCTGTTTACACAGATAGGAAAGAGTCTCGATCAGGACACAGCAGACACATGGAACCAGGAGAACTCAATGTGCATTTGCAGTATGCTCATTTCAATGAGTTGGTAAATGGGGGTTAGTTGTGCAAAGTGCTGAAGGCTCCAGCCTGGCAGAGCCACGAAGGCAAGAAAAACTGGTATCAACCAGGGCTGGGTACCCAGAGCGAGCATCACAGGACAGGTTTTGTGGGGTGAAAGTGCCCTCCCTGCACCAACACAGCTCCATGGGGCATCCCAGGGCTGGGTGAAAACGCTTTTTTTGGTGGGTCCCTCAATCTGCGAGCTGACGTGGGTATTGGCACACACAGCACTTCATCTGTGTACAATGGGAGGGAAAAGCAGCAACACAGAACATCGCTACTCACATCCACTGAGCTCCCCAGCCTGATGGCAATTTGGCAGCTCCCCCTTGTCCCAGGCAGGGCAGAAAGATGTTGTGGGACTCAATGCAGGTCTCGCTGCAAGCCCACAGCAGACCCAAACCAAGACCTTCTCCTGACTGAGTCTGTTGTACAGGGCCCTACCTGAGCACTGCAAAGCACCACATGGACACTCAAAGAAAATTCCTCTCCTCAACTGGCACAAGAGAGAGGCACACTGATTTTGTTGTCTTTTGCTGAGGCAGAAAGGAGCTGCAGCATCTCACATCATCTGTCACTCCTGTCGAAGCACTGAATGCCAGGCTAATTAAAAAGCCACCTTTGTGCTAATGAGGAACAAACTTCTGGTTTGTGGCAATAAGGTGTAAGCCTCGTTACAAGAAAGAAAAGGAAGACACTGGTAAGAAGCTGGCTGCAATTTAAAATGCAATCAATTAGGTTGCAAGTCCTTAACTATTAACCAGCCAGAAGCAAAGATGTGGCTTTTCACAAGGATCTCTCACAGATGGAGTGAGTAAAATCTGCAAGTGGATACTTGCACACCAGACCAAATCTACGCAGCAACAGTGCATCTTTCAGCAGGTTTCAGACAAGGAAAAGCCAGCTCTAGTGAGCCATTACAGCGTGCAGTGCACTGCCCTACCACCAGCATCCAATACAGCAGCTACAGCAACACCTTCCTGCTTCCTCATGCCAGCGCTTACCCACGCTTCATGCTAAAAGCACTTTGCTAATGCTGTTTAATTCCCACCCTTCCTCCCAGCACAAAGTAGGCATCCCCAGGATCCCATCCCACCGGCAGGTAAAGCAGAGTACAGCTACATTGTGCAGAGCCGTGAGAGCTCTGTCCACTTGTTCCGTCTGACCTGCCACACACCACGTAGTTACACCCCCACACAAGAACAACCATCCCAGGAGCAGTACAGCTTTTCCTGCTGGGAGCAGGGTGCCCAGTGAACCCCCTGCCCCCCAGCTGGCCCTGTCCCAGCGCTCCCAGCGTGGGGCTGGAGCAGCAGCCGTGTCACAGCTCACCCTCCCAGCAGGGCCCCAGGCTCCCCCCAGACCCATTCGGTGCAGTGTCCCAGGCACTCCCGTTTCCTTTCGCGATTGAACTGGCGATGCGGAGGAGTTTCCTGTTCTCCCAGCCGCAGTACAGGCTCTCTCAAGACCTCAGAGTTTAACGAAAGTCTGTGTCTAGTTAATATTGTCAAAGTTTATTAATAGAGGAAAGCACAATCCCAGAGCTGCAGGGATCGTTACTCCCACAGAGCCTGGCTTTGGTGTTCTGGACTTTTTTTTGGCAGGAAGCTGTTGGCTAGGTACCACAGTATGTTACTACTGCAACTGTCAGAGAACATAGTGACAAGAGGGAAGACAACAGGACTGCCTATAGAAGTGTAAAGCACCCTTAAAAGTTACAACAATGCGTTAATTTCCTGTGCTTTAAGAGTGTAACACTACCCCTGCTCTTTACACCTATGAGAACCTACAAAGGGCAGAGGTGCCTTCTCCAGCACATGCAAGGGCAGGACAAGGAACCAAGAGTACCCTGGCTACCAAACCCTGCACCCTATCCACAGCTCTGGAAATGAAACTGCAGGGACCAAGAGGAAAAACAGTTCTTCATTAGGCGAGAGAGGATGAGAGGAGGACCACGCTCAGCCAAGAGAGAGCCCAGCTCATCTCCAAAAGGCTCAGCTCTGAAGAAAGTATGAAAGAGCTTGGTATGAAAGTTTCCTTCATCGGTCAGGACAAAAAGGCACACTGCAGCCCTAATTTAATCCCTCCTCTAAAAAGGCAGCACGATTTCACTATTTCTTCCCCCTGGAGAATAATAAATTCTTCATCCATGCTGTTCAATTCATGCCACACTCCAGGAAATCAAGTGTTCAAAGAACAGACACTTGAGCTGCAAAAGCACTCTGCGGAAAGGTGGATATGCTGTGTACTTTACTGAAAGACCCAGCAGCGCTGAATCCAATCCTGTGTCAGGAACAGTGCATGGCATGGACCAGGACATGGAGAGAGCTACCAGGAGCATCTGCTGGAACCCTCAAGTGCTCATCAGTTCGTTAGCAGTGTCAGACCAGGTCATTTAATGCCTCATTCAGCTTCCTCATCAAAGAGAAAAAAAAAACAACTAAGGGAAAAGAACTGTAAGAAGAGTGAGAGAAAAATCAATAGAGATAGGGTGATGGTTCAGTTACGAATAAACAACATTCCTTCCCTGAAAAAAAACCAACACAACAGAAACCAAACCCCTAACAACAGCCTAAACAAGAACTTCAAAAAAATTAAAAGAAAAGCTAATTTTTACCATCGAATGAGGGCACTGTGGACACAAGACCTGAGGAGAAGCTCGGTGCCAGGCAGAATGAAAGTGATGGGACTCAAAAGGTGCTTGGACAACTTCATCTGTCAATATTTGTTAATACAGAGCTATCACTTCTGACTCAAGAAGCTTCGAAGCAAGTCTCTTCTCCCTCTGAATCAGAACCTTCCACTCTTCCCCTTCTCCCCTAAATCCCAGAATTTCAGCGTGATCTGAGTGCCAATTTCCAGTGCACTGATAATTTCCTCATCTACCTTCTCTGTTACTGAGAACAAGAGCCACACTACTAAGTTTTGGGAGCATTCTGGTTTAAGATTTGGGGTGGGGCGGGTAGGTGGGAAGAAAGTGATGGTAAGAGGAGATCTGAAATGAGAGGGCAGGAATTACACTGCTTTGCCTGATGCACTTTAGAGACTGCTCAGAGCAGAGCTCTCAGCTCCACACCTTGTCACCTGGAGACATAGATTCTGGACAGAAACCTCCAAACAAGCTGTAGCAACAGGTACACTTACTGCAATGCACTGCCTCATAATGCAGGACTGCTTCATCCTGCCAGGGCCCCCAAATTTCTTCATGTCTTTGCAGAAGTGGCACTCTCCGCACTCTGTCCGCAGGCACGCCTCGCACTTGCGGCATCGCGTCCTCCTCCGGCGTGCCCCGGCTGTCGTCCGGTTTGCTGCGAGCTTCACTGCAGAAGCTGGGCCCAGTTTCCCTTTGGGCCGTCCGACTGCCCTGTTCTGAAAGAGGCAGACACACATGGTTAACAACACATCACATATCACAGAATCACAGAATATTAGGAGTTGGAAGGGACCTCGAAAGATCATCCAGTCCAACCCCCCTGCCAGAGGAGGATCACCCAGACCAGGTCACACAGGAACACGGCCAGGGGTTTGAATGTCTCCAGAGGAGACTCCACAACCTCTCTGGGCAGCCTGTTCAGTGCTCTGTCACCCTTACAGTAACAAAGTTATTCCTTATGTTCACATGAACCTCCTGTGCTCCAGCTTGGGACCACTGCCCCTTGTCCTGGCATTGGACAGCCCAGAGCAGAGCCTGGCTCCTTCCTCCTGACACTGCCCTTTACAAATCAATACCCATGAATGAGGGCACCCCTCAGTCTCCTCTGCTCCAAACTAAAGAGACCCAACTCCCTCAGCCGCTCCTCAGCAGGAGATGCTCCACTCCCTCCATCATCTTTGTGGCTCTGCTGGACTCTTTCAAGCAGTTCCTGTCCTTCTTGACTTGAGGAGCCCAGAACTGGACACAATATTCCAGATGTGGTCTCACCAGGGCAAAATAGAGGGGAAGGAGAACCTCATCCCACATCCCACCACAGTAGGGTTGGAAGGGACCTTTCCATCATCTTCCAAGGGACAGCGGTGAGGCTGACCGCTCCGGAGTTACCTGGGGCCGCCTTCTTGCCCTTTCTGAAGGCTGGAGTTTCCTCCAGACCTCAGGCACCTCCTGTTCTCCAGGACCTTTCAGAGATGATGGAGAGTGGCCTAACAGGGACTTCTGCTCCCTCAGCACTCATGGGTGCATCCCATCAGAGCTCATGGGTCTGCACGTGTCCAGTTCACTAACTGTTCCCTAACCCAATCCTCTTCAACCGAGGCAGTGAATGCCTTTTTCCTGACTTCCCCTGGGGTCCTGGGGCCTGTCCCAGCAGTAAAGACAGAGGCAAAGGAGGCATTCGGTAACCACCTTCTTTGTATCCTCCATCAGCAGGGCAGCCACTCCCTTGGACAGGAGTTGTACACAGCTTAGACACAAAAATGACAGATTTATGAAAATGACACATAGGAGATGCACACGATCACTTTTACAGCTAAAGGAGTTCCATTACCGTTTCAAGAAAAGATGCACTGCAAAAAGACAAAGAAACCGGTGCATAAATGAGAGATCCCAAACCCACATCACCAAGAGGGCATGGAGAATCAGTCCATGCACAGTTCAATGCAGGACCAAGAGATGATCTGTGCCATCACTGAGCTCTGGGCAAGGCAGCTCCCAGGGCTGTGCCCAGGCCACCCCACACCTGCTTTCCTCCACTGTGGAAGGGTCCACGGAGGCAACAAAAGCAACGTTGAGGTTGTACAGCAGAGAAACGTTCAACAGCAATGGCTCAAGACACAGTGATCTCCCTAAAGAGCACGAGAGCATGAACTGCTGCCAAGTGATTAAGGAGAAAATAAACCACAAATACTAGAAAACCCTTCTGAAGCAGCTCCTCTCATATCCAACACTACCAAGTGCTTGAAAATAGAGCACCAACTGATGCTGAGCAAAGGCTAAAAGGGGCATCCCAGGTCAAGATTTCAATGACCTTTAAGACAGAAGCTAAAAGGAGCATGAAAAGATTTTAAATTATTAGGTTAACTGCAATGTATTCAGTCTGAATATCTAAATTTCACGTTCTCCACGAAGATGATAACACAGGACTACTACTAACGCTCATCTGGTTGAGTACTGACAGGATCTTCCACCCTGTGCTCACCTCGGCACATGCCCAGAGCAGCCGGTTTCACTTTCTGTTGCTGTTGAACGCCGGGCTGTCACCGCAGCGGGGCGGGTTGGCTGCAGGATTTCCACCAGGTTGTAAAGGAAAGGGCAGGACCCGTTCTGCTTGGCACTGAACCGGCTCCCCAGGTGCCCTACTGCACCCCAGTGCTGGGTGTTTGATCCTCATCCCAGCTGGCTCAGCCAAGCCCCAGTGACTCTAAGATGCAGACAGTGCCGATATTTTCAGTCTCCATCCCAGGAAAGCAGGGGAACACGCAGCCAGACCTCTCGGCTTTTGGTCCCGCAGACCCACCATGGTAACTGGGGTGGGAGAAAACATGGCCGAGTCCACGAGGTTACACACATTTCAGTGAGTTTAATTCTGCTGCTCCAGAACAGCGTCCCCTCTGCTTGCAGCCGAACCGCGCTGTGCGTGGTGAACACGGACAAGCGCAGCTTCCTCCCCATCACAACAGCACCAGACGCCGGGATTTCAGATCAATCTCAGAGACTAAAGAATAAATATTTACCTGTTAGACCAACTTTTCAGCCTCTCAAGGATAAAGTCAGCTCTGCCAGGACTGGCTTAGACACAACCTAGATAGGAGATAACTTCCCTCCTTGGCACGATTCACTCCTCCGTCCTCTCTGTTTGAGTGTCCTTCCACTGACAAGGGAGGAGATGGGCATGAACCTTGGGTGGACATCAGCGGGAACAACTGAAACCCAAATATCCACAACAGCCGGGCAGCTCCCCTCTGCCAACTGCACGTGGCAGTCTCTGCGCCAGCATCTGACTCCTGCCCACCAGGTCTGAACACCTAACATTGTTAGGAATGCAAACAACAGTTAAGAACGATCTCTTTAAAATGCAATCTCTTTCAAGGAAAAATCAAACTCGGTACTTTTCCAGCTGGAAGCCGACAACTGATCCTGCCACAGTAACACCAGCCAAGTCCTAATCCTGAGGACAGCATCTGAAGCACCAGGACACTGCAAAGGACGCAAGCAGTAAAAAAACATCGCTTGAACACAAAATTTGAGGATCCTAACAAAAAATAAAGGTACTAATTAAAAAAAAAAAGAAGGCAGGAAGGTGAAGGTACCAGAACACGTCTGAAGCCAGACCACACCACACAACTTGGATTTTCTTACAAATCACCACCACGCAGCAGAGGTGCAGACTCTGATCTCACCGTACGTAGCACTTCATACCTCCCCTGCCCTCCTGACTGCTCGTTGGGAAACCCAAGCCATTGCAGGAGCTGGTTTGTGCTCATTTACCACCAGAGCAATCCTCAGTCCAAGCCACGTGTTCACTCCAGGACGTCGCAGCCAGCCCGGCTGGCGAAGCCCGGCAGAATTCCCATTGGTATCCAGTTGCAAGGGGCTCCAAATCGGTTGCCTAAAATCTTCCACAGAAGAAAATCTGGCCTGTAGGTTGCTATCCTATAAAGGGGCTGGGATTCAAGGGGGTAGAAGGAGCCTCCAACACGAGTTGGGGTTTATTTAGCACGTGGCAGCTGGCCAGTCAAATTCCAGGTCGATGTTAGTGAAGAGATGCTGCAGTTCTGGCTCAGGCTGCAGTTTTACAATGTACCGGCTCCGGTAGCAAAACCAGGTAAAGATTTCCTTCCCAGCTCCTGCTCCCACCTCTGAACTCTCCCAGCACGGCTCTGCAGAGCTGTCCTGCAGTGTGCGAGACGTAGGGGATGGCGAGATCCTGGGTTCACCTCAGTGGCAGCACAGAGCAGCTCCAAACCCTCACGCCCAGGGCTGGGTGAGCACTGAGCCCTACCCCAGGTCTGGACCAAGGCAGAGTCCCACCCCTGCGGCACATCCTACCATCTCCTTCCCCAGGAGCCACCTGAGAACCGTCAAGAAAGGAAACCTTGTAACAGACTTCAAGAGATTGCTTTCCTTAAATCTCATGACAAAAACCAGAGCATTGAGACACGGCCTGTCTGAAATACTGTCAATACAGTCACCAGCAATCCCCTGTGTTCTCCAGCACCTCCACAGAAACCGTGCTCATACTTCTCTGGCCACAGCAAGGGTCTTCCCAAGCGGGGCAGGAGGATGCTGAGGCGATGACAACCAAGCTCCTAATGAAGGCCGTGCAAGCAGCTGCTGAAATTAGGATTAATACACTAAATACCCACCACAATTGCATTGAAAGCTGGTGGACTTGCGCTGCCCTCTAAAACAGAGATGTTAACAGGACATTCTACCAGTTTCTTTTCTTTTGTGGTATCTTCGTGCCCCCACCCTCAGATTTCTGCAATGCAGCACACGAAAGTAACCCCCTCCTGCCTGGCACTGGGAGGCCACTTGGGCCATCAAATGTCACACCCATGAGCTACAAAGCCATTTACAAGTCGTGAATTTGGGATCACCCTCCCACACCACAGCACCTCAGACAGGAAAGGGGACAAATTTGCAAACTGATTTTTGGGAGTGCTGAGCTCCTCCAAGCCCCAGCAAATTGAAGAGAGCTCCAGGTAGACGATCAGGGCCGGGTGGAGAGGTTATCAGCTACTCCAGCCCAGGGATGACACATCCAACCCTGCACAACCCCTAGGAAATGCTACCCGCAGAGTCACTACTCCTAGCACGAGTTTATCTTGGCTGTGGACAAACGTGTGGCTGCTGGGCAGTTCTCGCTGCCTGCTCACAGGTACATTAATGCACTTTCACCAGGTCATTGCCCTGCTCTGCAGCCACCCCTCACCTCTAGGGTCAGACGCGGTGGAGGCACCAAGGGCCTCTGCCCTAAGCACAGCTCTTATACAGCAGAAACACAACTTTGATGTCTACAGCAACAGATTTCTAACTCTCACAGTGGCAAAGAGTAACTCAGAAGACCTCAGGTAAACAAAAATACCAAGAGCATTTAAGCTTTGGAGACAAGAGTTATCCAGAGTTATCAGCTGTTAAATGCACCTTTAAGTAGGTGCTGATGTTCCCCAACTGCTGTCCCAACACCAACCAGGCCCTGTGTGAGCTGCCACGCACCATCACACACCAACTCCTCTGCTCTGTAAGGAAGAGACAGTCCAGAGGAAGGAGGCCCTGGTCTCCAAAGCAAGGCAGACAAAGCCTGCAGCCTCCAGACAAACTCCTCTGCAAGCGGCCCTCACCCGGGCACGGGTCCTGCTCCACCACCAGCGTCACCGACCCACTGCAACTGCTGCGGACCCAGATCTCCCAGAAACACCCAGGGACGCGTGCA